TGATGTAGGTTGGAGGCCATCGCTAGTAGGTTGATGTAGGTTGGAGGTCATCGCTAGTAACTTAGTAGGTTCACCTTGTCTTTGCCACCTTTGTCTGACCAAAAACATCACCCTCGAACTCGCTGGCCCCGACCTCGGCAGACGCACGTGGTTCCGGTCAACATCCACCGCCCCGGACTGTCCCCGGTCCCGGAGACCCGTGCTACTTGGCGTCCAGTTCGGTGGATCCGCCGCGCCGCGCTAAAGGCTCGGGCCTTGAATTTCGCCATGATGTCATTGACATTCGCGGCCACCTGCATCTCGGTTTTGGACACCACGATGTTCCAACCCCTGCCCCATTTCTGCTGGATGGCACTCTCCAGTTGCTTGGCCATGCCGGACTCCGACAGTCCCGAGCCCACCGCTTCACCCACGAGCTTTCCTGGGCAGGACAGAAGTCAAGCTTGAACCACGAACCAAAACAAAGAGAGAAAGGAAATTAAAAGAACTTAACTATTTTCAGTATTGATCATTCATGGCAAGAATAGAATGGCTGATTCTATGACCATGGGTGGGAATGGTACCCACTGGGTGGGAACATCGCAAAACCGCCTGAAGCAATCCCGAAGCTTCTCATGTAGACCAAACTGTCTCGTTGAAAGATGTTCCGGACATATCGTAAGCCCTGACCAAAGGAGCGTAGCAACACTCTGTCCGACTGGCCAACCCCATAGTTGACATTCACCTTGAAGGGCGGCGCAAACTCGCTCCGCTTGAGAATGGTCACATACAGATCCTTGCCTCCCTTCTGGATCTTGAACCTGCCCACGAAGTCCTTCGCGGCTCTTCCAATCCCCACTTCGCTGCGCGTCACCAGCACATGCACATCATTGTGGAGAGCGCCTGGCCAAGAGGAATTCGGGCGCTCCGGGAAAAAGCTGGACAGGAAAATGCCAAGAAGGCAACGCTTTACAAGCGATCAATGAAGAGAATATAGACTAATTATACAATATATATATATATATATACCAGGGACGGTGAAGCTACAATAAGGGCTTTGGCATGTTTTTTTGACACGTGCCCGACCTGCCATAGTATTGTGGTCTTTGAAGTTCCATTCTGACACGACGACCATCCGAACCAAGGAACCACGTCCCTCCCCCGCTCCGCTCGCCGATCATCGGACGCAGCAGATCGGCCGGCCCCCGCCTTGCCAAATGTGCCACGCGGAGCTCCGGATCGACTGGGCGATCTCCGACGTGGGCAGCTCGGCGGCGCGGGTCACGGCATTCACGATCCTCGACCGCGCTGGCGACGCGGCGGACGCGGCGGACGCAAGAGGGCGCAGAGCGTTGTGCCGGCGGCGCGCGAGGCGTTCCGAAGTTCGACCTGGGAGACGTCCCAATTAGGGGCGTGCTCGACCGGATCCATGTGTGGATGGATGATCCGACGAAGGTGTCTATACCATCCGCGTGTTTGGATATCTCCCTGGTCTGGTGGAGAGGAGTCCAGTGACCCCTTTGATTCATGGCATGCCAATGCATATGACAAACCCCGGAGCTCCAGGCTTCCAACCATCATTGATTTATGTAACAGCCTTTACCCCAGCGACCAGTGTTGTATAGCCATTGGCAAGGCCAGGTCAACCGCGTTATTAAATGGGACATGTATTATATGGTGTATGCATGTGTGGGAACCCTGCCATGATCTACGTCACCGAGGATCTGTTGCTGCATGTTGCCCGTCAGGCTGTTCAGGTTTTGGAACCCCAGTGTGTGCACATTCTTGGTCAGCACCTGCGCATTGCCTGAAGCAAAACGCTTGGCGCCGCCGGGCATTCCGGGCATTCGGCCGAATTGGTTGGTCATTCCGCCGAATTGGCCATGTCCAAAGCCAGAACCAAGTCCTCGAGCCAGGCCCCCGCCGCCGAACTGGTTTGGGCCAAATCCCCTGAATGCATAGCCAGGCGGTTTGGCAAATCCATTGAGTGCACCACCGGGCTTGCCGCGGAACTGGAACCCCTTCAAAGCATTGGTCGGCTTGGCATTTCTTAAGCCTGATTGGACGGTTCTTGAAGCAATGCGACTCACATGATGACCCAAGCGACTTGGAGGGTTCAACCCCTCCACTGTCTCATTCTCAAAGTCGCGGATGGTGAACTTGTCAGAACGAAGGGCCGAACAGGGTGCCCAAAGGAAGGCCACAAGGAGCGCCCTGAAAGTGGCGGAGACCGCCGCCTTCATGGCAAGTGGCGGATGGAAGTGCTTACAAAAATCGCAAACAACAAGGACTCTGGACTCTTGAGCCAAATATGGTGAGCCCGAACTCAAGAAGTAGAAGTAGAAGCAAACAGCAAACATCACTGACCCGAGCCATGGATGCCAACAACTGAAACCCGGAGAGCCAGCTGCCAGCGCAACCTGCGACCCTCATCCCTGCACCGCATCCGTCGCACGGTGTTTGTCGCTCCGCACGCAGCGGTTGGATGGCGCGCTTCGCGCGGAGTTCGCGGGGCGAGCCGCGGACCAGGTCGGCGGCCACCCGAAAGGGTCGGTTCACCGAGGTTTGCGTGGCGACCTTAAGGAACCTGGAGAAGTGCGCAGCGTGACACTCTGGGGTGCTTTTTGGAAGTCTGTAAGGAATGAGGATTTCTTGCGGCAAGAACTCTTCAACATTGGCCTGCACACTGAATTGGAAAAATTATCTCTAGAAATCTGTTATCTAACAATGTTTTTGCTCAGGCGGTCCACCATCACCAAGGGAGGGACGTCAGGTCAGGCCAGGGAAGTCTATGCATGCATTCCTGAAATGCATGGGATTTGCAACAAGATGTCATAAGTCATAGTTCTTCATAAGTTCATAAGTCTTTCATACAACATCCCCCCACTCTCCAAAAAGAAAACAACTCCGAGGCTCCACGCTGGGTCACACAGCTTCGGCGGCGTCGGTGGCGGACGTCCCGGCCGAGTCCTGGCCCGAGCTGCCGTCCGTGGCTTACGGAGGGATGCCGGACCCGAGGGTCCAATCCTCTTGGAGGGGTCCGGACCCAGAAAACCGGTTTTTGAGACACCCAGCTGTGAATGGAGCGTCTGGGTACTAAGATGATAAGAACCACACATCAAGATGTGGAGAAAGCCAGTCTGAAGGTCTTGGGTCGAAGATGGTCGAAGAACGCCCGAAGAACTGCTGAGGGAGGGCCTGGTCAGTCACCCAATTTCTATATCAACCAGGACCTTTCCAGTGACTGAACTTCAGGATTGGTACCCGAACTTTTACAGACCTCTCTCTCTCTCTCTCTCTTGATTCTGGGATCTCACAGGGGTCACTGGGAAGGTCCGAAGCGAAGGTCCGGGCACCGAACCGCCCGGGGCCCGTTTCGACGAACCCACCGAGACCCACCGAGACGCACCATGGAAACCAGCGATTTCGCTCGCTGAGAGTACATCAGAGTCATCCTGATGACCAATGACGTCGACGTGGGCCCTGTTCTCCACTGCAAGGCTCGGTGGCGGATCCCTTTCAGCGAAAACCGCCCACCGGCGCGACCTCCTGCGGCGACTCCGCTTGGCTTTCGGAGAGGGAGAGCGCCATCGCCAGATGAAAGTCCTGCCAAGCGCGCGCGCGCATTCGCGCGGGGTCTCGTGGTGCGTTCGCACTTGCGCGCGTGAGTGGGCTCTTTTGGTCGGAACATGGAGCTTCATTGCATTGGACCTGCCACTGTGGGCAGCATCGGCTCACCAGAGAACTATGGAGCTTTTGGGCCGCATTGACTTATTGACCGTGATTGACCCCCAAGCGCGGCCCCAGGGGATCGAAACACGAACCGGGGTTCCAAAGCTCAAGTTGTGGCCTTCGTTTGTCCTTTTCGACCGGTTCTGCTCACATCGAGGATCGAACCGCTGCGGCACCGAAGGATGCGAAACACCGATCCGACGCACCTCATCGTCGCTGTCACCGTTGACGAACTTCCGCTTCTGCCGCTCCAAACGTGCCTGGTTCCGCTGCTTCTCCTGGGGAGTCGGGGGTAGAATCGTCCATCTGTGTTCAAAAAGACATCTTGGGCGGAAATCCTCGGAAATGGCTGTGACTTGAGCACTGCACTGACTAGACTCGCCCACCAACACATGTTGCCCTCTGCACCCGTTCTCTCTAAGGTCTTGGCTGTGCCAGCTTCGACCAGGCGGAACGGGTCTGGACCCACCCCAGGTCCTGCTCCCGGTCATAGGCCAAGTACTCCCGGAAGCTCATCCGCCTCGATCGACGAGCCGCTCGTGACCGTGGGGCCGGGGCCCGGGCCTCGCAGGTCGTCTATAGACACTCTAGACTTGACTTCGGCCTCCGTGACGTGGGGGAAATGGTACCTGGCTCTTGTGGGTCTCCAGCCTTCACGGTCTCTGGAGTGGAGTGGAGAGTCTATAGAGTTAAGTCACTCGAGGCCAAAGACATGAAGCTGCAGGCATGGGAATTTCTGCCTCCAGGGGTTGGGTCCACGGCCAGCATACTCCGTGGCCAGAAGCCACACTGGAGTGGTCTACGAAGCAGCAAGGAAAAGTAGACGGGTTGATGAATCAAACATGATCAAACCCTCCAAGCCTGGAGATCTAAAACCATGGGGGCCTGGGCCGGCCCGGGGGATTCGAAACATCAACTTCTCTACCTACTTCACCGGCAGATGCCCAGGGAAACGAAGATCTGAGGTGACCGGCGCAGCTGCGTCGGCTTTTGCTTGGCCCTGGGCCGAAGGACCCAGATTCTTCGACTCACGGAAGAGGAACGGGGTAGCCGGCACCATCGGAATTCATACACCGTCACCCTTGAAATGCACAAAACACCCTTCATCCTCCTTGACTTCAGGGCATCATAATCCATCGGATTGAAGCGCCCGAAGGCCAACCAGAGAAGTTTGAGCGCCCGAAGGCCAACCAGTACCAGTTCGCTCCACACACCAGTGGCACCACCCCAAGAACACAGATCCAAAAGAAGAAAAGAGCTGACAGTTTCACTATCTTTCACTCCCTGCATATCTACAACCCCATATTCCCCCCCGAAAACATCCCAGGTTCCATCCTCCAAACATCCGACCCTATACCCTATACCCACCCAGCGCCAGCTTGACGCACGCTGCGTGGTGACCCCGGTGGCCCCCGCCGTGGCGGTGTTTTGGTGTCTTTCGGGGCCTCCTTGGACTCCCTCCTCTTCACCGGCACGTGATGCACCAGCGTCGCCGTCGTCACCTCGCGTTGGCCCGCGAGAGGTTCGCGGAAGGGTGCCCCGTGGCGTGGCGGGGCATGGGGGTCGGGGTGGCCTGTGAATTTGCGAGGGTGAAAGGAGCAAAAAGAAGCTGACAAGTTGAGGTGTACAAGTTCAGTTCACCTGGCATCCAAGGCATTTTACATCCTGGCTATATGATATATGAAAATGAATCATTCATCCGATCCCCCTTGATATATAATAATGAGGATTTTGAAGATGTGCGCTGATCCAGCATTGGTCACCTACTGTAGCAACAGCCAAGCCCACAACAAAATGAGTTCACGAAGAAAGCGCAACTAATTCCTGCAAAAAAAAGGTTCCCGCTTGCCTCGTGTGGCACACCTCCAAGCCCCCACAAAAAAACAAAAGAAATTAAACTTATATGAAAAAGATATAAAAATAAAATGCGAAGACTCCAAGAAAGCAATCTTGGAGTCTTTACCCACTCTCTACGTGCTCCCACGTGCTCTTCCCACCGTCCACCTGCGGCTGGCTCTTCAGCCGCTGCGACCGCCGCGCCGGCGACGGCGTCGCCGCGGCCACCACGCTCTGCGCGGCGCTGGGCACGCCAGGCGCGCCGGCTGCGTCGGGAAGGTCCGTGGGAGACTCCTGAGCTGACGTTGAACAGCCAGAGAGGGCTCTTGAGAGCCGAGCCTGTGACTTGGAGGGGGGCTCCTCATCGGATCTCCGAAGCATCACCCGGACATAGAGATGAAACGAAAAAGCTGGACGTCTCAGTCTCCTCCGCTTCGTCGCTGGACTTGCGCTTCTTCTTGCCTGGCGCTCGAACCGAGACCAAAGGAGGTGGAAGCGAGTGGAGACATTTCCACCGAATGTGCAGAGAGGTGTGGCCGGAACAGCCAAACGTGGACCCGCCATGGAGATCTTAACATCCTTTTGGAAGGAAGGGCTTGAAGGGAATTTGTACAAATATAAGTCTTCTGATTCTCCTCTGTCTTAAACAGCATTAGACTCATTAGACTTGATAGACATCTCTCCCACCTCCGAGCCTCGTCCTCTTCCACGGCCTCGGCCCTTGGCCTTGGCCTTCGGCGCCGTCTTCGGCGCCTTCGCCTTCGGCGCCTTCGCTGTGGGCTCGGGCGGAGGCTCCGCGCGCTGCAAGGACTCCGGCAGCTCCGCATCGGCCGGGACCTGGAATCCGATGCGGTTGGGTGGACATGAGGTGCATCGGGTGCCGGGTGCCTTCTGAGTGAACCGGCTCTCCTGTGTGTCTTTGTTCTTGAAGAGTTGGGTGACACAACTCACAAGGAAAAAGAACCTGGTGGCTATAATCACATCTGCCAATTATATGACATCAATTTGTCAATAGGCACATCATGATGAATCACTCCTCATCGCATTGGTGACACCTCAGTTCCCCAACCCACCTCGCCGCAATCGCCCCAGCTGGGCTGCCCCAGCATCCGCCCCTCCCGCTGGGCGGCCCGGCGGCGCGCACGATCACCTCCAGGCAGTCGATGCCCTGCAAGGTGTCCTGCACGTGCACCCAACTGGATTCAGGTAACTAGGACCTAGTTACCTAGTTGACCTGGCAGCGCTGAACCCAGAAATGAAAGAAAATGGATGAATCAGGATGAATCCATGAGGAATCCACAAAAGAACTCAGTATTTAACAGTGGCTTCTTCTTTCGCACCATCGCCTTGAGAAAATGACTGTGATGACTGGTTTCTTCCCCTGCGCCATGTGGGACATAATGTTCCACCTGTCCACACTCACCACACACACTCGGCTCCTCAGGCGTCAGGACCCGCTGCTGGGGCCGTTCCAGGAGAAACTTCGCCTCGGCCAAGGGCAGCTCGTGGTGATCGCACCAGGCCTGGTGTCCGTTGACGTGCGCGGTGCACGTAAGGACGGTGAGTGGTTGGAGTGTGGGTGAGTGGGGTTCAGTTGATGGTGTTCTTTAGAAAACGGGGTCTTGGCAAGCAAAGAGGCCAGCTGCCAGCACTGTGCACTAAACGAACGAGATCGAATTATGAAACGAATTGCTTGGTGGTGAAAAGTGCACCCCGGAAGACAGACTCGCTATAGGGTGTTGATGTCATGAATTTCCAAGCCGCCCCAGTTAGATTTCCATCAGGCAACCCTTAAGTAGGGTGCATGAGTACCATATGAGCACCATAAGGGCCTAACACTGGGCCTAATATGGCCTAACGAGAGCCTTCATGATGTCACGGACGCCCCCGCTGCCGGACCCGCGCCTGCATCATCTTCCCCAGAGGTGTCGACCGCCGCCTGCCGCGAAGGTGTTCAGGACACCGTTCCACGCGGCGATCGAGAAAAATGAGTTCGAACCACGTGGGACGGTGGATGGAGATCTATAGAGTCCCAAAAGTGACCTGATTTATCCTGATTTCAATTGATTTCATTTCATCTGTCTGAATGCTCGGTCTGCCAAACCTTTGAAGATGCTCTTGAGTCGGTGCCCTGTCGCTGCAACCTGGGGACGCTCAAAAAACCCTCTGGCCCACCCCCCTTCCAGGTTGGAGGCTGACTGGTCTGGGAGCAGTTCGGAATGGGGCGCCCAGCGTTTGGCCTAGCGTCGCTTGTCGCGACTGGCCCAGTGCTGACCCCGAGTTCCATAGCGAACATAGCTTTCACAAACAGATGCCGCCCCCCCAAATGGGTATCTAGAAATGAACCTTCAATTAGTCTTGTCTTACCAAATCTCACCCCACCTGTCAAACAACAAAGCCAGAACTACCACAAAGCATTGAATGGCCCTTGATCTTCTATGTGTTCGCCCACTGTTCGGGCAACAAAAAGGTATCTCGCCCTCAATTCCTGTTGAAACATGACCAGAAAAAACCGTGCCAGCAGGACATTTGGAAGCTCATCTCGCTCGGGCCATCTGCACCATCTGCCACCACCTTCACCTCCAGCTTCTCATCGGCAACGCTTGAACTGCGAAGCTTCAGCGCTGGGGAGATGATTGGACTAGGGGATGGACGAAGAATGGCATGAGTCACCAGTGAGTCGCTTGGCATCCCAATGGCGGCCCCGTGCTCCGGTCTTGGGCAGCATACAGTATACAAGACTTACAAGGACCATTCAATTTTATATCATTGAATGTACTTGTTCGTCTCGGCCGTGGCCAAAAACACAAGGATTCAGCATATGATAGGAAACACCTTTTGCGCGGTGTCTTCGCTGTTGCCTGTTCCTTCTCTAAACGAAGCGACCCAAGATCTGTGGGTCTTCTTTGGGTCACGACCTGATGGATCCGAAATCCGATCCGCTCCCTCCCGTGGTGAGAACCCTCGCCTGGTACGTTTGGCCTTGGCTTTGGGGGTGCCTCCCTCGCTGCTCTTGCGCCTAGGCATCGTGCAAAGGGGTGGTGGGGGGGGGGGGGGGGGGGGGGGGGGCATGCGGTCAGCTGCCTGAGCTCAGCCAGCTGCGCAGGCATGTGCAGATCCAGTTGGGAGACCTACACTCTCTTGAAGCCAAAGAACATACTTACTTACTAGCATAGTTGCTCCCCAAAACAATTATCACGCACGGGTAGCCCTACATATGACATTCTTGTGAAGGGATTCCATCCAAACGAGCGTCAACCAAAAAAACTCTGCCACTCTGGTGCGCAATCCACTTCAATTAGAGGCCACGGCGGTGCCGTTCTCAGCCTCCAAGGATGGATAAAACCATGTTGCTCAACCTTCGGAGTCCACAAACGCTCCGGGAGGCCACGGCTGTGCGTGCTTCGCGGTGTCGCGCCGTTTCGGTCCTCTGTGCGTCCGGGCTTCTTGGCAGGGCTGCAAGGCACGACGCGCACCACCAGGACTGAGCAGCACCGGATGACGTTGGACCAACTGATGACTGTCAAATCGGCGTCCCAAAAAAATCGAACCGGACTTGTCATGAAAAACTATATGGCTGGCTATATGGCTATGTCGGTCAAGAGGCACACTTTCAGGGGCCCCCCAGTGAGCTGTCAGGTGATGATGTACCTCATTCACAAGCCCTAATTCCCTAATGTCTTGAGTCCCTAAGTAACTATCAGCCTCGAGTAGTGCATCAAAGATGCAAAGGGTGGGCAACATGCTTGGAAAGTGTGCAATTGTCGGTCTCCAACGTGTTTCTCTTGCAAAAATGGTATATAACTGATTACTGGCTCCATTTAGAGGAAAAATTGGACCATCAAATAACCGTTAACAACTGGATGGTCCATACTAAACATCGGACTCACCCAATCTCTCCAACCACCGCCCGTTCCGCCCCGCGGGGATCGGCCCATCCGCCCCTTCCTTCGGCTCCGGGACGGTCGGTGGCACCCACGGTCTGGGGAGTGTCGTCATCGGTGAGCCTGGGACGTAGGGAACGAACGTCCCGATACCGAACTCTAAGACCTGGTGAGGTCAGCGAAGGACAAGAGGATGGAAAGCAAATGGAAGTAGTATGGAAAGTACATCAGGGACGGACCCAAGTAAGGATGGGGTGCTTTAGGGTGGTTTTTCGCAATTTCGATTTGGCTAAGGAAGGACTTTTACTATTTTTTAGTTTGGCGATGTTTGCTTGGGGAAGCGTGATCCGTACTGCTTGGAACAACGAATTTGCCAGTCAAGCAGCTCTCTTTCGCCCACCTTGAAGCAAGCTTGATTGCGCGGCACCCCTTGATGTGCACACCAGCGAGCCTTGCTCGGGAGGAGCAGCATGAGGAGGAGGATGAACGGCATTCCAATATGAATTAAAGGCCACCCAAAAATAAAAAACAAGACCCTCCAAACACGACAAGCTGTAAGCTGTTGATTGGGGTGCTCGCAACAGTGCCCCAACTCTGGATCCGCTTTTGCGTTGTGGGGCACAATACCCGCGGCATAATGCGGCATAAGGATAATAGGGTGGTGCAGTCTAGGCTCCTTAGTTCTCCCCCCCCAAAAAAAAAGCAATAAAATGCAACGCTATTGGAGATCTTGAAGCCTTGCGCCTTATGATTTGTAGCTCAGGCTCACGGTGGTCTCAACTCTGGTAAGACTCGCCCAACTGCAAAAAAAACTTGCTTTTGAGAACGCCAGCTGTCGTCACTGCCTCCAAGGAGCCATCAGTTTGCCAAAGGTTGTTCCAAGCTTCATCTTGAAGTTGATGACATTTTCGCCGTTCTTCCCATCAGCCACCACCCGCACTTCGATCGGTTCCTCCTTCTCCGTCTCGGGCATGGCCGCCTCCGTCGCAAGGGCCTGTGGCGGGGTCTGTTGGGACAGCGTGGCACAGCAGTCGTAGTGGCAAATTCGGGCCCCCATGCTTTCTGCAGTTCTGAGGCTGAAATGATCCAAAGCAGTTCATGAATTCATGACACACAAACCCACTCATTGTTTGTCAGGATATTGCTCACTGCCTCCAGATATCTCCAGCACCTGCAATGCCATCTGCAAGAATTTTGCCAACGGACATGTCTTGGCCAACGGCCCACGCCCCACGCCCCACCGAGAACGCCCGCCTCCTCCTGTGCCGCTCCCGCCGTGGCCGCAGCAGTTGCTGGGGGCTCGACAGCGGCCGGCTGGACGGCGGCCGCGGCTGGCGGCTCAGGGATTGGTGCCGGCTCGGGGTCGGCGTCAGTGGGGACCTCTGGGTGCAAGGGCGGAACGAGGGGAGAAGAGGTGAGGGGAATGGACAATTGAGATGGCTGAATTGTTCCAATACGTTCCAATCACATGCCTGAGTGAGATGACGCTTGGCCACCCCAAACGATCAACGACGCCAATTTTGGGGCTGCCAGGGGCACCGAACACATCCCAAAACATGGAAGAGAGTTTTAGAGGTTTTCGTCCTTCCCACCTGTCCCTCTAAACCTGGGGTTTTTTCGTTGGGCCGCCGTACTGTGGCGTCTCTTTCAAGACATGGCTTTGGGCCAGGGTTTGGGTGGCCCGAAGAAAGGCCGGTTCTTGCTGCTTGCGACCCGCTGAACACCATGCACCAAGAACAATTGATTTAAAAAGACGGAGAAGTGCAGCAGTTCACATCAGCTAGCCTCAGTTTGGAGCCAGCCCGGTCAGATTTGCAGAGCATTTACCCCGGTCAGATTTGCAGAGCATTTTAATTTGCCCAGTGCTGATTCCAAAGGCTATTCTAATTGATTTCAACACCAAACGAATTGAACACCAGAGCTTATGATGGAATGGACTGCACATCACCGTCTCCCTGAATCTGTGCAAGAACTTGGAGTGGAAAGCCCCCCCTTTCTTTCTTTCGATTGTGCCGAGAGGTCTAGCCTGGCAGGTGCACTGAATTCAGCGGTAGAGGTGGACAAGCCCCCCCAAAAAAATCACTCTCCAATGTCAGGCAGAATCCGGCTGGGGGTGCCCCACCGCGCGCACCAGCACCGACTTCTGCAGGCCCAAGGTCAGCAAGCTGTCCTGCAGGAACCGGGGACCGCAGGTGGGGTGCGGGTTAGGACCCGCACTCAAGTGGTCAACGGTGAATACGAACACCCCCTTTTTTAAGGCTCTGGAGGGAGTTGTTCGTAGACACTGGTGCATCATTGCCATTATACACCTCTTGCACATCATGACCTGAGTTCCACCCAAACCACCCAAACCACCCTGCCCTTCCCATCCAAACCTGCCGTCCTCGGGCATTAAGACTCTCTGCTCAGGCTCGAGCATAAACTTTGCCTCGGCCAGCGACAGCTCATGATGCTCGCACCAGGCCTCCACACGGTCCGGCACGGTTCCGCGCGCAACAGCGGGAGCTTTTGATGACCCATCCCCTTTCCCCTCCCAAAAAAAACGAAGAACAAATCCTCTCTCCCTCTCTCTGCCAGCCAAATGCCTGGCGGACCCATCGAAAGGCGGTCCATTTGAAGGCGTCACTCGGCCCCGGTCTGTCCGTGGTCGGAGCCCGCCTCCATCATCTTTCTCAGCGGCGTGGACCGGCGCCTTCGGGGCGATCAGGCGGCGCAACGCTGCTGCGGGACGCTGCTGTGCGCGGCCGGGGACAAAGGCAACCCAAACAGAAGGCAAAAAAAGTGACGTAGTGAGGTGGTATCAGAATTCTATCAGAACCATGTGGGAGCTTCCAAACAATAGCCCCACTGATAACTTCAAGGCCAACCCGCCGTTGAAGTCTGCGTTTGGCACCCCACTCCACCCTCCAACCACAGCGCCGCTGCACCGCCGCTGCGCTGCTGCGCCACCCATCTGGGCGACCCCGACATCCGGAAGCTCGTCTCGTTGGCGCCACCCGCGCAATCCGCGACCACCTTCACCTCCAACTTCTCGTCCGAACTGCCAAAGGGCGCGTGGTGCGGGCACGTGGTGTGGGCACCTACTGGGGATTGGGTGTGGGATGATGGAAGGTCCGCAACCCATTCAGCTCCAGGCATCTCGCTCGAGAAAAAAGAGAAAGAAGCTTGTTGATGCAAAGGGTGTCACTTTAGATTTCCAAACATGAGGGGTAAAGAAAGATGTGGCCATGGATAGAGGAATTCTTAACAAACTGATCGCCAACGCTGGGGCATGTCACATATACGGATGCATACGGTGCATGTTTGGATCTAACATGATTTAACGAACTAAAGCAATCTCCTGCTGCTCCTCGTCCCCTCTGGCAAAACTACGTGCCAAAACGGCGCGAACGTAAGAAAGACATCCGCCCTCGACACCGACGGTCAGAGTTGCCACCTGCTCTGTTGGGCCTCGGCCGTGTTGCTCGTGTCCGCCTGGCTTTCAGGCCTCGAAAGGAGGCGAAAAAGCGCGCCAGTCTTGGCATAAAAAATGTGTGGCACAAGCCAACAAGAGATGAACAAGGCGAAGTGACCTAAGACATCTGGTGACCAACTCCGAGTGTCAAAAGCGCCTCTAACTCCCAACCGGCTGCTCTTGGCCTGATCTCTTGTTGCTTTGCTGAAACTGCTGAAACTTCTGCAATGAGTTGAGGGGCACAAGCGAGGCCGAAGAACCAACCAAACCAGCGGAGGTTGTACGCGTGGGGGGGGGGCTGTACGTGGGCAAGGCCCGCCCCTGTACTTTTAGTTAGTCGAGAATCAGAATCAACCCCTAAGGGCACCAAAAACGAATTGCAAACAATGATGCGCTGAATGGAATGTGAAGTGCAAAGGAGCTCTTTCTCTTCACAAAGCACCGTGTTCTGCTCGTGAGCGCGAACGTGTGACATCCCGACCGGGTGGCTTTTGCATTGTCCCGCCTGCTCTGTTGGGCCTCGGCCGTGTTGGTCGTGTCTGCCTTGCTTTCAGGCCTGCAACGAGCAAAAGCCGAAAAAAGAACTGACAATTTTTGGCTCGGGCTCGGGTGAGCCAAAGGCTGTATGGCATAGTTCAGAAGCCGTGCACCACATAGTCTTCTAAAACTCCATGGTTGGTAAGGAAAGTCTCCAAAGTGATTGATGAGGTCAGCAGTGATCGACACCCTGGGAGTCAAAGACTTTATCTAAAAAGAATGGTCTTTAGGGGACCTGAAAGGGAAGTTCCTTTACTTCAGCCGGTCAAAATAATAGTCTTTGGACTTCTAGGGGGCATATCCACCAAAACATCACTTTGCCACGGCGTCGATTCTTCCATTTTAGCTCCACGAGGATGTGCACCACCAGCTTCGGAGGAAGCACAATGACGAGCAACGAGACGGCATGAGAAGCATATGAAAGATTGCCATTTCATGTCATTTCTGGCCTCGGTCACACTTGAAAAGTGGGTTTCTGGCCTCGATCACGTTCTACTACGTTCTACTTGACAGTAGGGGCATTGCTTTGTCAAAGGGCTGGCAGAGTAAACTCGTGAGGGCTCCAGAATCAACACAGGCCCCCAAGCACGGTCCCACATATCCACAAGCATTGAGCTTCGAGACGGGTCTTGAAGTGTTCACCAGACATCTCACTGAAGCGATCTGCTGAAATCTATGCCAGTCATCACTTCTATCACTTCGATCCACATTCCTAAAAAAGCTGACCGACAACCCGACGATCACGTCGTCCGTTCGGTCGTGGCCACCCCCCCCGCGGTCTGCTCTGTGGGGACAACGTCCCGCCTGGTGGCTTGGGCCGTGTCAGCCGTGGTGGCCGTGCCTGTCTTGCTTTCAGGCCTCAAGGCCGAGGATTTGATGTTTCCGTCAGTTTGATGCAAAACCAAGACATAAGGAGGTAGAAGACCAAGTTTTACTGGGTCTTTGGACTTGTAGGGTTTGGACGCTCCATCCAGCAGAATGATGTAGCAAAAGAAATCGGAGAAGCTGAGCGCCAGCTTAGCACCGGAGAAAAAAGGACTTCAAGAACATGTGTGCCAGTTCCATGGTTGATGCGCTTGGCACTCCTTTAATGATTAACAACTTGGTAGGCTGGGATTCTTTCCTTGCTCCTGCAACAGATCCTGAACCCATGCACCAAAGCGACGAACAGAAAAGAAAAGAAAGGAAAATACGTGCAAAGATCATCAAATATCCAAAACAGGGGCTCCTGATGCGCTAAAACAGGCACATCCGAAGCTTTGCAAGACAATCACTCGTGGGGGGACTCCCTGCCTCGTCGGTGCTTCAGGCGTATCTGCCTTGCTCTCTGACCTCAAACGATCAAGGGCCGCTCTTGTTATGGCAAACAGTGGGGAACATTCGTTGGGTACAGCGTCTGAGCATGTCGGAGCACCATCCATCTTGAGGTGGTAAAAGTTGTAACACTCAATTCGACCCAACATGCGCAAACAGTTGTACCAAAAAGTGTTCTTTGACCATACAGTATCTCTCAGTGTCTCTCAGGTGTTGATGTTCAGTGCAGTGATTGTCTTTCCCCCCCTGTTTTTGCCCAACGTCCGTCCAGCACGATGGTCCACCATTCCCCAAGCCGCCGGGTGTCCGGTCCCCTCCCTTCCACCAAGCCCAGCGCGTCTTGTTCTCGTGGGGCATCACGCGCACCACCAGAACTGGGCGCCCAAAGGCGAAGGGGTGCACTGCGAAGGCATCGTCTCTGGTAGGCTATTGTTCAATATATATATATAATAATATTCGGCTGCATCAGTTACACTTGACTTGAGATAAGACGAATCAGATTCGGACTGAATTCTTTTTCGCACAAGCTTGAGAGTCTTTGTTCAAAAGTGCTTTGGTTAATGTGACCCTGTCACAGCAGCCCACGCTGCGTGCACCCTGGTGCATACCTCTGCCAGGTATTCGTTCCCTTACCCGTACCTGGTAGACTCCTTAAAATAGTCAAGAGGATACTGAACATCAGTCCTATGACTATGTTGGAGTAGGGCTCAAAAAGTAAACGGTGTAGTAACCTAAGAGTTGACACTCTTACACTGCAAATACAGTGACTTCCAATTGCTCCGCAATGTCACTGGAAAAATGGTATCTGGACTCAGGACCGAAGTATTTTGCCTGGCCGACTGCTGCAAATGTTGTGGCTATGTTGCAGACTGCAGCCACAAAAAGACTCAAATCAGTGACGAAAATACATCATGGACACCATGGTAACCCGCAGACAGCACCAGTCCATGAGCTCATTGCCAGAGCATTTGGCCAGGCCGACAGCTGCAATGCATCTGGCTTGTGGCAGACTGCGCCAGGGTGACAATCAGTCACATCAAACAGAAAAATAATGAACCGCATCCGTGGTACTCAGCTGGCAGCGACCACGCGGTGCCACGGGACTTCAAAAATCATGGACATGGAGCCATTATGGACAGTCAAAAATTGTAACTAAAAAAATGGACATGGACACAGTGGTATCCTGCAGACAGCACCACTCCATTTGCTCATTGCCAGAGCATTTAGCCAAGCCGACAGCTGCAAAGTATCTGGCTTCCGGCAGACCGCGGCCAGGAGGATCAGACATCAAAGTGCAACGGAAAATTTGGTGGACCTGAACTGTGGTACTCAGCAGGCAGCTACCACTCAAGGTCGCTGGTAACGAAATGAGTGTCCGCTTGAAATTCACTGGATTGGAATCATGCTGATCATCATTGGAGCAAACGTGACATATAAAAATATGCAGTAACCCAAGAGGTCCAACTCTTGTACTGCCAACGCAGTGACCTACAATTGCCCCGCAATGTCACTGACGAGA